ATGTGGCACTGGGGGACATGTTTAGTGATGAACAGGCAGTGATGGGTTAACAGTTGGACTTGATGATCTTAAAGGTCTTTTCCAACCACAAAAGTTCCACCGTCCCAGTATGCTGGCACTCTCTCGGGTTAGGCCTTCAGATTAATGACACCCTTCATCCCCTTCCAGCACATGGGAGCCTTGGTTGAGGAGACTTCTGGTTTCACACACTCAAACCACACTTATCTGGAGTGTTCTTCAGTTTTTCTGTTTGCACAGGGGAACACACATGGTCATGCTGTAGGTAAAAGTGGTTTCTCTGATGTGGTTGTACTGAAGTTAAACTACAGCTCCCTGATGGACGTGCCTGGACAGCAGCAGCCAGGTTGTCCCTGTTCTTTCCTGTGTGATCTCATGGAAGGTCACCCTCTCCCTTGCACTGGCACTGCTGTTTGCACATCTGCTCTGGAAGACAGAAAATGGAAATAACCTGACGCATCCCCCGTGCCGCGGGGTTTGGGGTCGGCGCTGCTGCCCGGGCAGCAGGCAGTGAGCAGCGTGGTGCTCTGGGGGCGGGTGCTTGTGCTGCCTGTGTCCGGCCGTGCTGCAGAACCTGTCCTGTCCTGCGGGGGCCGTGAGGTTCTCCCACGTGGTTTACACCGCGGATCGTCTAAGCCTTTTTAGGATGGCTTGAAATTGTGTAACATAACGCACTGGGTAATATTCCTTGACTTCTACAGGGCATTTTTATTACTGCTTTTCACCACATTTTATTGATTTAAAGTATTTCAGGTTATTTATGAGCAGTTTATTTCTGTGAATTTCAATTTAATTTATGTGAATGTTGGGGAAATACCTAATTTATATGTAATTTTCTTTCCATTGACCATATAACTCTTATTATCTTTATTATTATTTCAGTCTAAAGAACTGTATATATTGAATTCTCTTCAAAGCTGGTAGCACTGCCAAGACTCTCAGATGCTTCTCTTTGTAAGAAGCTGTTTTCAAGAGCTTCCTGCAGCATTTATAAGGTCTATACTTGCTTGTCTTGTGTTGCAGCTGCTGTTTTCCTGGCAGTTGTTTCTGACTGGTTTTTGAAGTTTTAGCTGAGGTGGGTTGGTCAGTTCTGAGAATGAGACAAGGGGAGTAGTTGGTCTTTGCCAGCATTAAGATATTCTGGTCACCTTTCCTCTAAAGGGCTCTGTCTGGAACCTTAATTTAAGAGGAAAAGATCCTAAATTTCTCTAGAGAAGATTTACATTCTGGTTATTAATTTTGCTGTTCCTATTAAAAAAAAAAAAAAAGGTGATTCCTTGCCCAGATATATCAACCAAAATAATTTTTCACATGCTTTGATATTTCTGAAGTGTTTAGTGGCTGAAGGCCCTGAAGCAATGCGTCTGTGTGGCTTCACAGGTCGCAGCTCATACCAGGTGGTCGTGGTGGAGTGTGAGCAGCCAGCGTAGGGAGACGTGCCCTCTGACTGCTACTCTGAAGCAGGCACTGGCACTGTCGGATTCGTTTCTGTTGGAGCATTGATGTTTTAAATCAACAGGTGATGCTCACATGATAGAAGCAGATGTTCTTCTTCGTGGTGGCACAGGAGGAGATGGAGACCCCATCATGGCTCATCCGCCTGAAACAGACAGTGACAACACACTGCAGGAGTGGCTAGAAGAGATTGTCAGCACAGATAAAGGCATCAAGCTGGATTTTAAGAGGTATCTCAAGCCAAAAAATGTTTTCATATGTTTGCATTCTTACTAATTAACAGTTTTACAGGTAGATCTAATTTTTTCCTATTGTGGAATTCAGTGTGACACATTTCTTCTGGAACAGAAAATGAAGAAAAATAATCAGTATTTCTGTATGCATTGCAAGAATAAAATCTTTAAAAGAGTTTTGAACTACAAATAATGATTTCACATTCAGCGAATTTGTTACTGAGTTGCTGTTGAGCAAAGATTTCTTACTGGGAAAACTGAGATTGTAGTGCCTATCTGAAAAGCTCCTGTCAGTTTTCCACTTACTCAGGGAAGCTGGAAAAGACAACATCATTGGGTACCAACATAAATATCTTTTTTTTTCCCAGTGCTTCCTTTGCTCCTCATCCCCAAGGAGAGGAATTTTGCTTCCTGATCAGCTCCACTACTAACAGTCTATTGGGGATGTGTCAATTCAAAAATGAGGTGTACTCCTTTGAGTATCTGATCTTACATGGCATATGATGTCACCTTAGATTTCTTCAGCATGGTTTGTAGCACAGACGTTCTGCCTTGCTCTTTGTGTGGTGAGGTGCATGCACGTTGTAGCTGGCCTAATTTATGAAATAATTTTCAGAGGTTCATTTAGAACTTAACCATTAGAGGTTTCCATTGTCTTTAATGGGAAATACACCTGAAAACCCCATGAAATAGCCTGGAAAAGTTTGAAATGGAGCTCAGAGTGGGCTGTGACTTTCAGACATACACCTCTGCAACTCCAAACTTCAGCTTTGCCCGAATTTGCACATCCAGTGTCTGTTTTTGCAGCAGAGGGAGAATCCACCTCCATATTCAACGTGTGAGTGTGTTGTAGAAATGAAGGGAGAAAAAAAAAGCTAGATAGTTGTAAAATATTACTTGTACCTGTTGTTGTGTGTAACGCAGTCACAGTTTTCAAGTAAAAGTTTGCTTAAAATACAAAAGATGTGGGCAGACTAAATCCTTTTATTGTTACAGAATCTGTAAATACCTGCCAGGATGGAGAAGTGAAACAGCAAGAGAAGTAGTTTGTGTGGGTTTACTTGCTGGATTTGTTGGCTTGTTTGGGTTTGTTTTTTTTTTTTTCCATTTTGGTTATTGCTTATATTAATTTTAGAACATCAACCTCTTATTTTACCATGAGGAGTTTCCAGCCAAGTGCAATGGCTCAAAAAAGCTATTAAAATTGTGTTGCTTTATAAAGCTCTAATTGTATAAAAGTGTTTAAAAAACACAGAGTGCAGATACAGTCAGGTGAGTGATAACAGAATCTGATGTTCTTCTGGATATTTATATTGGATATATATCTGGATACCATGGCTGATGTTTTAAAGATGATTTCCACAGCACTTTAAAAAGAAGTATTTTGTGTATTTTTGCTCTCTCACCTTGACTGACCACATAACGGTACTTCCTGCTGGCCATATCTACAGGAATGAAGGTGTTCTGCAAAAGGCCTTCAGAGTCCCACCTCAAAAATGCCAGTCATTCAACATGGAGTCAGCAATACATTCCAGTTTTCCAAATGCTGTGCAATAAAGCCAGTGCTGTCTGGGTCTTGGGGTTTTTTTTCAGTTCAACAGTTGCTGCTTTGGGCGTTTCTCTTTGCCTGACTTGTACTTGGAGTAAAAGGGAAAGCATCCCACTGGCTTTGACAGTCCCTTGTATATGGGAAAGAACAAACAGTTCTGGTCTCAGGCAATGTGAGAAAGACTTAAGCCAAAACTAGTAACTCAAGCCATCAGCAGCTTTTCTGTAAGAAGACTTGAATTAATAGTGACTGGAAGCATTGAGTGGAATTCCTGCCACTCTGCAGCTTTTTTCAGCAGTACAAAAGTTAAAATGTACAATTCACAAGAAACAGCAGAGGCAGCTCAGGGGATGATTTTTGGCTTTAAAGCTAATCTAATATAACAGCTGACTGGCCCATTTTTGTCTGCAAATCCTGACATGATTCATCTGACCTCATCATGAGCCAGGCTATGGAATAACTTGGTAAAGAACCATCTCTGAAGATGGTGGGAATGGTTGTTTGCCACTTTATGTCCCTGCACTCACACTGCTGCTGAGGCAAGCATCAGCGCTGGTGTAGGAGCCTGGAGCTGGGAAAGGTAGAGGGGCCTTGGAATTGGCAGTTGGAATGATAGGGCAGCAGTTAACACATCTGTGGTGTTCCAGCAGGCACCTGTGGAGTCTGTACCCGTGGTTTATGTCTGTGTAAGCTGGAGCAGTTGTGATCCTCTCCTTGCTCTTCACAGCCTCTTTTCCCCTCCTTTTCCTGGTGCTTCCTGTGGTGCTCAGTTTAGGATGCTGAAAAGGGAAACTAACCCTGCAGAGCAACACGAAGAGTTTTCTGTTAGCTCAGCTCTGTATCAGGTTGCTCCAAGATTTTGAGGAAAAGCTACAAAAAGGCTTACTCAGAGCTCGCAAGGAGAAGACACAAATCCTTGCTGTTATTAAGGAAATCACAGCTGTGACCATAATGATTTTAAATTCATTAATGTTATGTGGAGTGTTAATTAATCTGCTATGAGAGCAGAAAAAAAAAACAAACCATGTTTTTTTGGCATTCATTCATTTTCCCCATTTTTCCATATTTCCTTTCCTTCCACAATACTGCAGTTTTTAAAGTTTGGGAGGATAGAGAAGGGTTAGAACCTGTTGGTCTTCCAGTTATGCCTTTTCTTTTTATTTGAAAGAACAGTGAGAATATGTCACTTCAGGAGTTTTGTTAAATGCTTACAAGTGGTGCTGCGTTGGCTGCTCAGGTGTGACTACATCTCAGGCTTGACAGGTCGCTGTAGGATGAACATCCTGTGGGCAGACTTCTTCATGCTGCTGCTACTGTGCCACACTTCAAGCAACCACTGCAGAAGTGTTGGAGCTTCCAGTGGCTTCCTCAGTTAAAATCCTTTCTAAGAGTTCAGTAACATCCAGGCCTTAACAGGTCAGGAGTTAGAAGAGCCGTGAGGTAAGACCCACGAAGCAGTTGCTGTTGGGCAGCAGGGAGACAGGAGGCTTAGGCAGCCTTACACCAGCAGAAGTCCCTGTGGTAGGAAGGGTCCTCAGCACTTGCTCTCTGGCTTACAGGGAGAGTCCCATTGACGTATCCATCTAGACATGTACTCTGCATCCACCTTCAGTCAGTGAAGTGTCTCACCTCACCCCTGTGTCACTGGTGCAGCCTGGAGGCCGTACGCCCTTCCTTGGAGCTCCTCGGACACGTGAAGCCACACCTGAGGCACCCTGTTTGGATCAACGCAGACGTCCTGCCAGGGCCTCATGGAGGTCGTGCCGTGGTGGATGCAGAAGGGTTCATTGACACTGTCACTTCATTTTTCCCAAACGTGACCTTATCGCTGGGGTGGACGACGGGCTGGCACCCTGACAGACACAACAGAGGTGAGGACAGAAGGTTTCCTGTTCATGCTGCACAGTCTGTTGTCTTCAAATTCACGTCATTATCATTTCAAAATAAGTTATATGTCACCTGGTCAGTTTGAAAATGATACCGAGTATGAGAAGAATTATTTGTTGTTGTGTATTTGATGGTGTTTTATAGCAGTTTGTTCAATGTTTGAGTTGCAGCAGAACTGTATAAAACCCTGGTATTTTCGTTGTTAAACTGTACTTTGTTCTTCAACACCCTTGCATAGATTGAGGAATCTGGGGGAACAATTTGCTTACACCCTGTTTCAGGTAGTCTGCTCCCTGAATCCTAGCAGGATTGGTTTGGTAATAGGAATTCTGCCACGTTTCCTGAAGAAAATATAGATCAGCTGGGAATTTAAAACCCTTCCACTGTTCTTTTGCAGTAGATAAAACTGTAGGTCAGCCTTGGTTTTAACATTCCATTTGTGTTGAATAATTGAATTTTTTGCAATAAATTTTCCAATTCATTGGTATTAGTAACTTTTTAAAATCTCAGTTTTGAGAATCCAACTAGAGTTTTTTACTGTTAATCCCTAATTAGAATTTAAATCTTGAATGTGCAGCTGTTATTTTAGGGTCCTTTTCAGAGGCTTCCTCTCATAACTGCCCTAGCTGCTTTGTCAGGGTGTTTTACTCCATTGCACATGCATTTGTATGCAGTAGCACAGTCCCCACCAGTACTGCCTGTGACTACAACAGCAAAGTCAAACCTCTGCCCAAATTGCTAATTGTTCATTAGCAAGATATGATACTGTGTTTTGAGGATTTTGTTGTATGCTATGCATTAATTTTCTTCAGCTCTATAGTAAGTGTTTTGTCCAAAGTATTTTCTGTGCAGTAAGAAGCTGCTGGAAATAATGTACTGGAAATAACTGCACTGTGTAATCTTTTTTAATAAATGTAGCTTTTTTCTCCGTTCTAATTTTTTATTTATGTTGATGTTAATTAAGGATACACTTTGAAGGAGAAAACCAGTTTCATAGATTTCAGCTACAAGTTGTTGCCCAAGAAAGTCTGTTTTTTTAAGATTTGGTAGTTCAGGTCTTTTCAGTCACGACCCTGCGTATGAGTACTTGAGAAAAAAAATATTAACAGTTGCTGTTGAAGATTTTCATAGCCTATAGGAATAAGAGAATATTCAACACCATTTTGACTAGCTCCAGTGCTTGTAAAAATCTCAACAGCAGACACTTGAAGCATTTCAGATTGCATTAATTTTTTAAGTACAAAACATTTTACATGTTTGTTTTCTCTATAATTTAAAGTGTTCTGTTACATTAATTAAAATCTTTTTTCAGATTTTTAAAAATGTTTCCTGAGGGTCACTGTGAAGTTAAAGCTAGTCCATGCTGGAAGTGAATCCCAACACAGTTTTTTGGAGAGAGAGCAGAGATTATCTTGCAGCCTAGCCGTTCTTGAATTTATTGTCTCTTCACAGAGATGGCATTTGTGACGAATTCTTTCCCATCAGATGGTCTTTATTGTAGGTTATGACTGGGTGATGGTGAAAGAAATGGCTCAGGTGTGCAGGGGGCTTTCCCAGCCTGTGACTTTCCCTGTAAGAGCAGCGTTGGTGCGACAGTCGGTGTCGGAGCTGTGCTGGCTCATGCAGCAGTCGGACAGGTGAGTTTGGGGGATTTTGGTTTTAGGTGCCTTTATTACAAGGGCACGTAATTGGTAATATTAAATATAGCACTGTTATGTGTGCACGCTTATCCCAATTATGTTGAAATTTCCTTTTTCTTCGAGATTATCCCTGTGGTTCTCAGGTCACTGTTGATTTCTTTAAAATAATAAAATTGCAAAACCCTCTTAAAATTACTTATTATAGGTAATGACTCTTATGTTGGCTTGTAATCAGGTTCCACTACAAACATTTCATAAGACTAATGCAGTTAAATAGACTAAGTAGTTAGGTGTTGCAATTTTGAATTAATTAAAATTAAATACTTAGACTTTATGGATGTTTTTTGTTGGATTCAGTATTTGTAGTTTCTGTAATAATGTGATGTAAAAGCATTGAACATGATTTTTAGTTTGAAAGTTAATGAGTGTACTACAAAGCTGATTTTGCTTAGGTACTCAAAATGCATTTGGTGATTTCCAAACACTGACTTAATATTTCCTTCTAAAAATAGCCCAAGGTGGAAGAATTAAGGCAGTGACTTGTATGGAAAATTTCTAAGTAATTAGAGACAAGAGGGTAGAAAAAAATAAAGTGCTTTTTTTTCTCATTTATAGTGGTGAAACTAGAGACAGAATTCAGCATTTGAAACTGGGAAATTAATTTTAAATAATTGTTTTGTTAAGAGTATGTCTTGTGGATTGTGCTGTTCTCAAATACGTCCTCACTGGATACAGGTATTATTCCCACTGAAATAGACTCTTTTACCTCAGCGTAAAAATCTTGATTTTTCTTAGTGGCATGATCAGAAGGCAGAAATCCCTGAGCCACTTTTGCTGACATACAACTGAATTCTGATTTACCTCTATTTTAGATTAACACACTTTCAGAAAACAAAGGGTAAAAATGAAGTATTTGTGATGTGGAGATTGTGGAGGGTAATACTTTTCACTATAAATAGTACTTTAAAGCTCTGCAGTTATTTTTAAGAGTTATAATAAAGTCTATGCAGTTAATGAGAAAAGTGTGTGTGATAAAAGTACAGGAGATACATTCAGTTAATCAGATGGCATCACTGAACATCACAGAGGTGATGCTTAAAACACAGGGTATGAGAAACAGCTGAGATTGCCTCATGTTCTCCCTTCTCATGCACTGCTTGTAAATATTTATTACCTTGACAAACTTCAGATGCTCAGCCTAGTATATTTCTTTGCTGGATATCTGCCTAAGATGTTTTTTTTATTTTATTCTTTGCTAGGTTTGGCAGAACAGTTCACACAAGGACCAGCCTACAGATAAAATGTTCTGAGTGGTGTAGCGTTATCTGTCTCAAAAATTTTGCATTTCTCCTTAGGAAGTTCTAGCAAGATTAGCTTTAGGAGGAGGAACTTGAAGTTTGACTGGAGCCAGATTTTGTGACTCCCTCAGTAATGAGGGGAAGAAAAGGACAGGTGTCTAAAGAACAGACCTGTGCAAATTCGAGTTTGTCTGTCAAATGGAGTCTTGTTTAAAGACTGTCAGTCATACTCTTCAGCTCGTCCGTCTGTGCCGAGCAGTCTGTGTGCAGATGAGGGTGTATTTGATCATGCCTGTTCCTGGGGGTGGCATTCTGGGCCACCAGTTGCTTTTCCCAGTCACTTGAAGCCACTGTGGTAACAAGAAGATTGGAGAGACTCTTAGTGTTGTTGGTTGTAGCACAAATGCAGGCCAGGGGGTGATGACTTGCCTGGGTGTAGAGGGGTAAGGAGGGCAGGGACATAAAAAAATGTCAATTCTGATAGCTCATAAATTGTAGTTGCTTACCTTTGTAAAGCAGACTAAATTCCTGGTATTTAATTACATTCCTAAAATTAAGATACCATAGTCCTAAATATTTTTAGCAGCCTACTACTGCAATGTATTTCTGTCTTTTAATGCTTTATTTTAAGATAGTAATGTACTCTTTTCATTCTTTTTCCTTTTTTTGATACAGATACAGCCTCACCATTTGGACAGGAAAGGAAGATGTGTACTCTGTAGAAGATTTGCTTTACATCCGAGCAAACTTTGATAAAAGTAGGGTTTATTATGACATCTTAGAGCCACAAAATTCTCAATTCAAAAAAGCCATAGGAGTAGAATAGTAAATACAAAGCAGACAGTCTCTGACTTTTATAAAGCTTAGCCTCTGTAAACGGGAAGATTTCTTTTTCAGGGAAATGTTTTTTCATCCCAAAAGATTTGTAAAGAACACAGCTGTGGCTGTTTGAGGTGTTTTTGTATAGTGCTTTATTGAAAGGCTTCTCAAAGAAAAATGGAATGCCTCTGTCAGAGTCATTACGTACTCATCATATGTATGTCCCCTCTCATTCACCCAGTGGTGTGTAGTAAAGGCTACTCACGTTACCTAAATAAAATATACCAGTACTACTTCCCTGTAAGCATATAAGGGGCAGAATGGCCCCAGCTGATAGTTGTGGGCCAAGGTTGTTTGCCACTAACTGCTTTTGGGTAGCCCAGAGTCTGTGGGACACTGAGCTTCTGCCAAAGCCTGGTTTTGCTTTTTGTAGGGGAGGACAAAAGACTGTATTAAATACAGAACTGCACGGTTCCAAAAGGGGTGATTTTGTAGCTCATCTTGATACACTCCACTTTGAATGGCACTGCAACTGATAGTGATGTCTGTCCTGGTCAACAGAAGATTCCATTTGCTAGGTGTGAGGAGTGGGGTCCATGGTGGTGCACATTCCATGGAGAAGGAGCAGTCATTTCCCCGAATTACAGCTAATCAAGGTTCTCTACCGTGTGGCAGTTGTGCATTCCAAGCCCCAGCTTGTCTCCATGCTCTCTGAGCCACCAGCAGTGCAGCCCCTGGGCTGTGAGAAGACTTGACCTGAAGCTGCAGCTGTGCTGCAGGAGGTGTGGGGCAGACAGAACCCCCAAAACAAAGAATAACCCTGCCCTGCACACAGAGCACAATGATGGAGTGCAGTGAGGCACAGGTCGGAGACGCCATCAAAAGAGCTGCAGTGGTTCTGTCAGTTTGAAACTAAACTTTAACTGTAATAGGACTTCTATAAAGTGTTCTGCTGCAGTCTTTCTGAAACCCATGGGGTCTAGGAATGAAAAATCTGTACAGATTAGTGTTTACAGAAATATCTGTTTCTCTGGTAGCTCGGTTGTTTTCTACATTCTCCTAGTTTGTGCATCCTCTTAACTCTCAGAATACAGTTTCACAAATTTTCAGAACTTGAACTTCCCTTTGAGAAAAACTGAAATCATTGCAACCCTCCTTAACACCTGCAGGAAAAGTCCAACCTCTTTGATTTTAAGCATTTTTTGCCACTTTAGCTTCTTAGTCTCATAAAATCAATGCAGAAGCTGAAATCTGTGCAGGCTGAGAGACGAGCTGTGTGTTGTTGCATTCTGCCAAACATTATGAAGGTTTTTTTTTCACAGCAGAGGAAGTAGAAAAGCTATTTACATTTATTAATCCTAAATTTTGAAATATAGTGATTTCATGCAGTCATTAAAGTCAAGATTCCTGATTGTTACCTATGCTCCTTTGCTAGGCTTCTCTAATAATCGTTTCACATTCTTGAGGGGTAGACCCTCCATCGTTTTTGTCACCTACTAATACAAAATATACTTGGATACAATTAGGAAATATTTTTCCAAGTAAGGAAAAGAACTAACTAGTTGTGCTTGGAATAGCTGAATAGAGTGCTGGATTTGCACAGTATGCCAGTATGAATGGCAGTAACTGCCAGAAGGTCAAGTTTGGCAGTGTGATTCCTTGTAACGAAGTGGGAGAAGAGATGTATTTTTAGTTCACTGTCACAACCTGATCTGATCTGAACAGATTTAACCTCCCAGTTTTTCATGGGCTCTTTCTTTGAGCTTTGCATGCCCGCTTGGCTGTACCACAGGAGGAAGAGAGGCTAACTAACATCAGTTTCCTAACTGATAATAACTATGGAAAATATTTTAAATACTTCAGAGACCCCTTTCTAACACAGATCACTTTGACTAGAACAGGTTGAGGAGCTCCTGTGTGAGCAGGCACGCTGGCAGATCTGATCCCATGGAGTCCCTCTCTGGATGATGACCTTTTCACCTAAATTCTCTTCAGGGAGAACAGGGTACGTGAGTGTCCAAAGCTCCAGTTAAACCAGAATTACAGACATGGCTTCCAATGTACACATAACAAACTAGCAGGAAGTAGTATAGTTCAAAAGTTTTTATTTTCTGGGATATACCATTGAACAAAAAGCACCTGGGGGACACCAGCCAGCTCCTGGGATCAAATGCAATGGAGCTGCATTAGCCAAAACGAGTCAGTCAGCTGTCTGAGTCAACAGAATTTGCCTTTAAGGGACATAAGGGAAATAGTTTGAGGACACTGCTGTAGCCATGTTCATTTGTTGGATGAAAGGTGCTGCTGAAGAGCATTCAGGGCTTTGTGGTGAACGCTTTGCTAGTTCCAGGCTTAGTCTAGATTTCTTTCAGGATACTGATGGTCATTCAGAAGCAGCAATACTTTTTAGCCATATGTTTATTTCTAATAGATTTAAAGACAAGAGTATCTTATCATCCATTTGTTCCACAACTGCTATAAATATTTAGGACTGGAACAGACTCCTAGATCTTGTTTCTGCACATTGTTGCAGGCAGTTAGATATACTGACTTAGTTAAGGAATTTAGTCTTTCAGTTGGTTAGCTCTTTCTGTGCCCATACTGGCAAACCTTTCTCTATTTAGAAACTTTTTCCCACTTACCAATTCCCACCTGACGTATTAGGTGTTGTTAAAACTAGTTAAACTGTTAGTAAAAAACATCTGCAGTTGCCAGAGCTATTTTTAAGGGGGCAGACATATCATGGAAGAAATAGGACCGAGTAATATACATGGACATAAATAAACAGGCATATTCAGATGAAATTAAAAGGAGATATGATCTAGATTACCAGAAAATTAACAGTTCATGTAAAGCTAGATTAAACAAAATGCAAGAAACCAATTCTTGGAAACATTGTTGCAGTGACAGAAGGGTTTGATTTATAGTGAATTTGATTTTTCTGTATGGATTGTCCTATGTATCTGAATTGCATACTTATTTTTTTACCTGTGGATCCATGTCAATTTACTCTGGAGTAATTTCTGTTGTTTGTGTCAGTCTGGTCTGACTTTCACATAAATATATTCATCTGAATTTGTTTCTCTGTGTTCATGCCAGTTTTCATAGGAGTGCTCCCCTTCCAGAGCTAGTGTTAACTGTGGGGCTGGCAGTAACAGGACTGGCGAGATGAAAGCCAGTTGTTCATCTTGTTGGGCACGAGTGTCTGTGTCAGGTCCATGTTTCTCCAGCTGTTGATGTCTGAGGTTTTCTTCTCTTCTGTCAGGGATCTATTCCTTGTACTTAACACTTTCCTAAGAAGCTTTGTTCAGGAGCTGCCATCTCTTTGAGGAATCATTTTCTCTAATCACTGTTGCTGTATGTCTGGTACCTTTCAGCCAGGTTTTTAGACTTAATTGTCATTATTACACAAAAACTCTGGCTGAGTTTGAGGGAATTAGGTATTGTTCACGATGTCCAGGTGAGTTAATTGATTAATAAAACATTTTTAATTTATTGCAAGGGTAGTTCAAGTTTTGTATTTTTCTGTAAATTTGATGGAACTTAAATAAAATAACATGTTACAGAATAGAATTGACATAAATGCTCAGGAATATCCTGCAGTTACATCTGAGTATACTGATGAAAGTAAAACAATGGCTGATTTTCTGGTGTTTGTGTTGTTTAAATGCACTGTGAAATTGAAGGAGATGGCCCCAAATAAACATTTTTCAAAAGCAGTTCTCCCCATCTGCAGCACTGTAAAGCTTTCACCTGTGATTTTTGTTGTGCTTTGTCTGGATGTTGAAGACTTTGATTCCAGCACCTGGGGCTCTGCCTGTTTTGTGCCACAGGCCCAGGAGGCTGTATCTGAGCCTTCCAGGTCCTCTTGTGCACAGCCAGGGATTTGTTCTGACCTCCACTCCTGCAGCCCACCATCAGGCTTTCATGTGAGTGGTGACTGAGAAGGCAGAGCTGGGGACTTGCACAGAAAGTCTTTGTAACTCCTTTAATAACTGTGATGAAATGGCCCTGTCCTTCCTTTTCTTTAAGGAAAAAGTACAGAAATTACAGTGTTGGGGAACTGGAAATCTCGAGGCTAGTTTGAGTTTTTTTTGCATGTTTTTTATAGGTTAGGGAGAGCCTGCTGGAGTATTAGGAGTTGCATCCTATGTTGTATCCAAGAGTCAGGGGAGCTTTTCCATAGATCTCAGTGTTCTTGTAAATGTTTTTTACTTGGACTTAAAATTTCAATTTTCAGCGAGTGTTGCTTTTAATAAAGGCAAAACTACTAATGCAAGAGGAGGTACTAGGAAGTGTTTGCACCATTTTTTAAAGAAACATTTTTTCCAAATCCTTTATGTTAATTAGAAACATTTTTCTGCCCAAAACTATTTCATTTCTTGACATTTTAGCTGAAAACTCAGTTTTTTGTTAATGTTGTGTTTTGATGCTTACAGACTTTTATTCTGTGATCATTTTTTGTCACAGGACTATCCGTTTGCCCCTGCAGTGTGATTCCCTGATGCCTGGGCTTGTCTCCTGTTAGCTTATTACATTTACCATCAGTTTTACCAGGAGTTTTATTCGTGACTCATGCACTTCCCCTGCAGGCAAAACTAAGGGGTGCTCTGCACTGAGCTGCGGCAGCGAGGTCTGTGTTCCCTGGGGCAGAGACAGGACATCAGACAAGCATCATTTTTGCTTCCACTAAAATTCTAAGTATTGTACTCCTGAAATTTGAACATCTAAATTTGGGGGGCAATTTTATGTAGTTTTTTTAAAATATACTGTAGCTTGGTTCCTTTCAGTTTTTTCAGTGATCCTTTTGTCATTCTGGCTGGTTGCTTTCACTGCCTAATTGATTCCTCTCATTGCTGTAGCAGAGGAAAAAACCTGCATATGTAAGTTCATAATCTCTAGTGGGGATCTATCCAAGCAGAATTAAAAGGTGTTTTAAAAGGGTGTTTTTAAAATGTATGTACAGGTTAAGTTTATGTTTTAAAAAGGACTATCTTTGGAGAGAAA